ATGAGTGTTAGCTGTCTAATATCAGCTCCCTCGATTATTTATGCATAATAGAAAAAACAATAATATGGTAAGACGATGCCACATATAAATCAAATTAAAAATAAAAGAAAGTTTATATTATCGGGTTGACCATATTGAACCTAATGGGTTCTGTAAACCAAACCCAAACACAAAACGCAAATATTATCACTACCTTTGTTATGTTTCTAAAGCCCCAATCTAATCCTATTATGGCTAATATATATATAATTGTCTGCACGCCCTTCAATTGTCGCCGGATCCTAATGTTATGTCTCAAAATTTTTTTAATTATTCTTATAAGTGTGCACTAAAAGAACATTACATATATTCGCGAAATGATTTAGATCATGATCTAAATCATTTTGCAATTGTATCATGTAATTTTTGCGTGAAATTCACAATGTACAAAATATTCAAGTCGACTTTCTAAATTATTCCTAAAAAGATTATGGGTGGATAGCTACATATTAAATTAATAAGCTTTTCGGGCTTCTTTTTTGTTTGTCTTTTGTTATAATTGTTTTCTTCACGATCTACTTATAGTTAACTTGGATTTTCAGAGGAAAATATAAAATGAGATTCAAATGACCTGAATAAAAAATCTAAATAAAAAATATTATTATAGCATTAATTACTATTAAAATCGTTTATTAACTATTGTCATAAAATGCCACGTCCTAATAAAAGAAAACAGCAAATAAGCGCATTGGCCAGAAAACAAGGTCGTTATACACCGCAAGGAATGGTGCAAGAAGTAGAAATGATGGATGATGAAATATTACTAATGGAAGTAATGGAAGATGAAGTTATACAGGAAACTCCTATAATGCAAAAAGAGACTGCTGAATTAAAGCGTAAGAGATCTTTATATACTGGAATATCAAGAACAACAGCCTGGAGAAAAAAACAAAAAGCTGATACATCATTAAGTATAAAAGAATCACCTAATTTGTCGCACCTGTTTCCAGCTGTTGATATTATAAAACGACTACAATTATCACAACCACCTTCAGCAACATTGTTAGCCAACGCTTTATCATTAGTATCACGATCATCATCATCAAGATCATCTGTTGAAATTATGGAACCAAAATCCTCTCAAACGGCTACACATAATTCACTATCTATTAATAAAAACAAATTAGAAATGCGGTTAAATGAAATTAATCAAAAATGTGCAATAATAAAATCCTCAAAAATTAACGTACCTATATATAATCATTTGCGCCTTCTAAGCATAAGTAGATACATAAAATTATTGCTAGATGGGCAAGGCAAGATGAATGCAAGCATTCATCTTGCACAAACTATTTGGGGTAAAGGAGACAGTATGGCAAAACGCATTAGAAAATGGGGAAATCATTATATAGGTAAGCGGCATACAAGTCAATATACGAAAAATTTATTAAATATTAAAATTCTTTTATTACTTTATACCTAACCCTGTAGAAATAGGCGAACTTCTTGTTGATCATCAAGGGAAACATGCTAAGTTAAAAAGTCTAATTAAAAATAAAGATTTTTTTGACGATTGTCGAGCTTGGTTGCATAATCAAAAGCCTGAGTCACGTTCTCCTGGTGCTTTAAAGATGTATATTGAAAGGACAGTATTTCCCCAAATGGCAGAACAAATTAAAAAAAATACCATTTCTGAAAGAACATGTCGAACCTATATGCATTTATGGGGGTTTAGATATGATGAAAAAAGAAAAGGGGTTTATTACGACGGGCATGAAAGAGCAGACGTGGTAATTTATAGAAGAGAATGGCTTAATAGAATGTTTACCTATAAGAAATATATGAAAAGTTTCGACGGTGATAGATTAGAAATCGTGATAGAACCTGAGCTTGAACCCGATGAAA